GGGGGGGGGGGGGTGCGTTCAGAAAAAAAGTGACCAACTTTACTTGATTGACCGACTATTTCTCCATAGAAAATTAATTAACAATGAAATAAATGGTCATATCGCACTTAATGATAACAAGTAAGAGCAAATGATGGCATGAAAGTATAAGGAAATTAAGTTTGCGGAAACTAATATTCTTGGATTTCGCGTTTTTGGGTGAATCCATGAGCACCTTTTTGCGAAAAGCCAATTTTAGGATTATCTGCAAAAATGAACTACAGCTTCTTTTGAGCTCCTCATAGCAATAATTGCAGCTTATACAATTTTCTCTAAGTCTGCGGTAAGGGCGTATATGTCTTTTGGTTACATGACATTACAGCATTGGCTCAAAATAGCGAAATGCATGGATATTTGAAGTACTTAACTTGCCACAATTTATTTGAAAGCGTCGACCGTCTTATTTATCTATTAATGCTCAAGCTGAATTCTTCATATGCTTGTATTCTTATTTCCTTGTTGATTCACCTTTCAAACCTTGTCGTTTTGCCATTTAATTCTTCCACAGTTGATGATCATTAGTTTGCCGCGAAGCTTCCATTTGCGGATATACTTAGGTGAATTAGTGGGTTTTGGAAAAACTGACGGGACTGAAGTTCCAATTTTTGTACAAGGTGCATTTTGGTATGGATGGAGGTTCAGAAAATTCTCTAGAGCCAAAATTTTTGCTGAAATGATGATTGTATGACGTCATTTTCCTAAATGGCCGGAATTCCTTGAAAAATCGACTTTTTTACTTACAAGTATCAGTAAAACGGACCATGCGAGACATGCTGCAGCTGACGTCTACAGGGCCGTCGGCCGCAGGTTTAAAAGGGAGGGGGGCAAAATATATAAAAAGGGCACAAACAGCTTTTTTTCCATAACTTTGGTTATTGCCAAAAAGGTACAGCTTTCGTGGTATTTTAGAAATTTAGAAAAAATGACACAGTGCACATAGCAAAACAGTGCCGTCGGAACAAAATCGGGGAAGGGGGCTTCCCATTGCATTACTTCCCATTCAGTACACTGTTATAAATGAAATATACTACAGTTTGACAATTATTGGAAGGGCTCCAGCCCCAAGG